CAACTCTTCTCACTATTTCTTAGTTGTTGGAATTGACGGAAAACCTCATAAGCAGTTCCTTACTTCACCTCTGCTTTACATGTGGACTTCTGAGTTGTAAAACAAGCCAGTGGTAGATGGAATTTGCTCCAGGACTTAAGAACAATAAATGACATAGTTGAGCCTCTACATCTTTGGTTCCTAACCTTTATACTATAATAGACAAAGTGCTAGTCAATAGGCCTTTTATTGTAAGAACTACCTTCTCTCTGTAGCTTGATTTGTGCCACTATTAGAGTCTCTACTTGGAATATTATTGATTTTTAATTTTTGAGTCATGTACTTTTAATTTGCTAATTAAATTTGTGTCTTCTAGGCTGCAACACTTCCATGATACATCTTCAAGGATATGAACATGTATAGCCAAGCACAACTGATAACAATTAACAGTCCATCTAAATTCCAAAATCAATCTCCACAATAGTCTATATGTTTCCTATTGCCAAAGGGGCCCTTTAGAGTAGTGAGAGAAGATCTTCACCCTGAAACCCACAGCGTCCCTTTTCAGCAGGAAGTAGCTAAGAGAATACGCCATCCCCTTTTCCTTATGAATCAGGATGAAGTCTCTCTCAGGGAGGAGTGATATGGAATGGCAAAGGACACACTGACAAAAGAGATCAATCAGAACTGGCTTTGACAAGCACTGTGGCAACTGGACAATTAAAACAGACTTTCAAGGGGAGAGAAAAAGGAGGAACAAACTGGAGAGGAGGGTAGAGAAAATAGTCCAACAATGAATGAATGGAAACACCAAATCTCTGTAAATGTTCATTAAAATGAACAAAATTTAATAAAAAAAAAAAGGTTGCAACTGGTCCATGCAGCATGAAGCACAGTCAGATAAAGAAGACACGTTCAAGGGTCCAGCACATGCCAGTGTGTCTCCCGCCATTAGACATAGCTGGGGGGCTGTTACCCCAAAGACCAAGGCCCTCAGATTGACTGACGATTGACTGTTACACATACTTCAGTATTTCCAAACTTTTCTTTTCCCTGAGAAACAGGGGTGGGGAAAGCCCCTTGTTGAAAGAGGCAAAATACGTATTCAGTACAATCTCTCTGCATATGCTTTGGGAAAGTTAAAAGAATGGCCAAAAGCATTGGTTTGACAATGGCATCAGAGCCCCCAATGAAACATCGCTCCTCACAGATGCACTGATGTGAGAGGCCTCTCTTTTAAAGGGACTTTAAAGGGATTTCACTATCAAGTTCTTGTAAGGGACTAATATTCAGTGAAAGTAGACATCATAGGAAGAGTTGCCCCAATAGATAAGAGTTTTGGGGGGAAACATTACATACAAATAAAGAATAAACTTTAAATATTTGACTAATAAAACCATCAGTCCTTTCTTAACTGTACATCTTACACAGGTTCTCCTTGGAATTATGCATTCTTTTTTATTTTATGCTTAGGTAAGAATTTGTTCTGAAACCACGCAATCAGAATAGTCTGGCAAATTCTCAGGGACACAAAATCCCCCTAATTGTTGACACTCTTAACTAGGAGCTACTGGTAAATTTTTAAATATGTCAGAATTTTAAACTTCCTGGATGATTTAGTCTACTTTATTTGCCCTGAAAATCTGAAAGAATAGGGTTGGATTGAGCTGTAGACGGCTACCTGCTTCTCCTGTGGAGCTGTAAGGTTGCTTCACTGAAGACTAGAGCCTTTGGGATGACTTTTTCTCTCTTTCTTTTCCTTTCTTTTTTTTTACCACAGGTGCCATAATAAAGTGGTGAAAATTGAAAAGGAATGAGGAGAAAGGAATACAGTGCAAATAATAGAGTAGAGAAAGTTTTAAAATATGTATTACTCCTGTCTGTGGGGGAAACACCTCTTTGGATATGTTCTTGACAGATTGAGTTATTGAGTCTATTGGGTATGTATAAAGACATATTTATGGATTTATAAATCTTTTGAAGAGGGCTGTTATTTACCCAGTTGACTAAAATGGACTCAAACTGTGTAAATAACTATTTAGGACATGCGCTACGGGCCAAATGCTGGTACAGCTTACACTTCCATGCCTGCCAGAAAAGTCAGACAGAGAAAACATGGAAAAGCCCCTCTCCACAGTTAATCCGCGGGCTGCACAAAGCCCCAGCTCCACAGGTCTCAGGGATGAAAGAAAGGTTTAGGAGGGCCAGGGCTGGCATGGAAATGTACGTGCAGAAATGCTGCAGCCATACATCTGGGCATTTATTCTGCTTTCAGCAGGAAGAATCCACAAGGAAGGGTAAGTGAAAGGAAGAGTTCAATCCACACCACCGTCTCTGCCAGCCCACTGGTGGGGGCTCAGCAGTTGTTGTTGTTGTGTGCTGTCCAATCACACTGACTCACAGCTGACCCTCCAGGATTGTCAGAGGCTGTAAATCGCACTGGAGGAGATTGACCATCTTTCTCCCTCATAGTTGTTGGTGGATTCAAACTGCTTGCCTTCGGGTTGGCCGCTCAATTCCTTACCACCAGAGCTCCCTGGGGGAACGGTGGGTAGGGAGAAATTAACATGGGAAACTTTACATTGGATCACAGTGTAAGTTACTCATTTTAGTTCTCTGGAGTAGAAATGGGAAGAGGATATGATGAGAAGAATTTTATATTAATAGTTAGGGAATTGGAATTTTAGGTCTGACACTGCACTGAGACCTCCACAAGACAACTATGCCTCATCCTTCTCCTCCATCAAATGGGGTTGAGCATGCTTTATCTGCCACTCAGCGTTTGCTATAAGATGCAACTGAGAGAATTGAAATGTGAGTTCATTTTTGTGGAAATGCTACTTTACAGGTAAAGAAATGTAATAGGAAACAACTTAAGTAGAAAACTTGAGTAATGTGAAGAATATATGACTCCTGGTTACAATAAAGTTCGTGATTAAGTTGGCCTTAGCAAATGTGCAAAAAATCCTAATTCATTGTTATGGAGTCTCAGAGGGGAAGAGTTAGTACTGGGTGCTTCAAAAATCTCTCATCAGGTTACATTCGAGGAAATTGGTCCACCACAATTGTAAACCGCAGGGTCCTTCGGCCATGTACAGACCCTGAGAGCAATAACTACACTACCTCAGTGTTTGTTGATAACATGCATATGTTATTAAAGCAAGAAATAAAAGAGAAAAAGAAACCAACAAACAAGGTGATAGTCCATGACCCCATGGAGCCATGGGGAAATAGATGGCATTTACACCTTCTTTGAAAACATGTGGTGTGCATAGGATTTGCAAAGTCAGGTTTATATTGTGAGTGCAGACACCACCTTAGCTACGGTGCTACAAACAGGCGCACACGCACTGCAAAGAGGAAAGGCTTTTTGGATTTATGCTGCATATCATTTTCCAGTAAAAGTCAGAGGTCAGGGGTTACCTGTTTCTGCCTCAGCTCTGAACTCGTTTACTATTCCAGGCTGCGTTTTTACTAGACTCCAGTTGTGATGAAGTCAGCAACTTTTCTTCAAACAATAAAATGTCTCAAATGCTTAAAATTCTATTTGTCCAAGTTATTCCCAGTGCTAGGAACATACATGAGCCTAAAGACAACGCAAACCTTCTTGCTGTTGTGTGCAAATCAATCACGTCACCCTCACTGTCGACTTGGTGATTCTATTCGAGATAGCCCAGAGAAGTTACAGAGCACAATTTCTCTGTGGTCGAACCGTAAGCACCTTGATGAAACACATCATAAAGCCAGACTTTACAGTATGTGCTGTGAGATCAGAGGCAACTTCAACTTCCACTTCTGTTCTATTATTTTCCGATTGAGAATCCTCCCTTAAGCTTCAATTGCATTAACTGATCATGGAATCCACTACTGTCAATCTCATCAGACACCAAGAAGACAGATAAATAAATGCATATTCACCTTCTTGATGAAGACTAGCTTTGCTTTTAAAATTCTCCTATTTGCTGACGTCAAACAAGTACATTCATGACCATCCACACTCACAGGTGCGTGACTTCGCAGCACAGCCCAGATCAAATCTATATGCTTCCCTCCCTCTCCTCCTGAGCTCACTTTAGTTCTGTCTGGACAATGAAGTCAAGCACTGAAGAGATTTGGATAAGATATGCAGAAGAATAGTTCAGCCCAGTGCAGAGGGAAGCCCAGCTCTGCTTTCTAAAAGGAGCGCTGCTTCGGAAATATCTTCAAGACATCAATAACTTTAAATCTTAATGGGTGTCGCTTCAGGATCCCTTCAGAAGCATCTCAACACAAGTAACAATTGTCCCTCTGATTTGCATAGCAGGGAATTATCAGCATATAACTCCTACACACTGGGGCTTCTTGTTGGCTTTCCCACTCGGCCGGCCCGCAGTCAGCTCCCTGGCCCTAGATTATGGATAAGGTGAGGATGGGCTGTTAGGCAGCTGGGTGGCACAGAAGAATACAAGGGTCAAGGAATACACTAAGATGAACAGATTTCCTAATTAAATGAAGCTTAAGTTCTAGGGGGAAAAAACCCCAAACTATACAAATAGTCACTAACTAGACATTTCTGAGTTTATTTCTAACCCTTAAGGAGAAAACAGGTAGCAAAAGGGAATGAGAATGTCTCTCCTACCTTGCTCACTGCTGTTGTCCCCACTGTGGGAGGTATGCCCACCGCTGGAGGGGCCGGGGGTTCCTCCTGACCGGGTCGAGGCCGTGTCATCATGGTCTCTGTTCCAAGAGGGCTGCGGGGTACAAATCAGAAATCCAAATGGAGCCGTCTGTTACCACTTGCTGGGTCAGGCCTTAGTGTGTAAGGAAAACGTGGAGAGAGGCGCCCTGGGCCCACATACACTAGCCCCTCCCAGCCCCCTTCAAAAGTGGTTCCAGCTCAAAGCAAGGAGGGCAGGTTTCAAATCCACCAATTTCTTCTTCCAAGCTAAAAGAGTGTGTACAAAATAGGGGCGTGTTTTGGGTTTTTTTATTAGTAATTTTTTTTTAATCCGTTAGTAATTGCAAGGAAAACAGAAACAGTTCAGGGAAAGAGAGGAGAAAAAAAAATGCCACCACTTGATTCTGACTATATTTTTAACATCAACAAACCCTCTGGCACAACAGTCTGCCAGTCGCCAAAGGTGCAATGGGAGTTGGTGGTCTAGAGAATTGTGGTTTATCGAGGTCTCTGCCTTATCCGAGAAGACAAACATGGCAGGGCTTTTAAGACCTCACAATTAGGCCTGTATCCATAATAGCTCATGTGTGTCAGCTGTTTGCTGGGTGGTACATGGCAAATGGACCAGGCATAGGGACAAAAAAAGAAATGAGAATAACAATAGATTCACATGGACTGGGTGCACCCAGCCCCACGCTGAGCCTTCTTGTACTACTGAACAGAAAACAGATGTGTTCCTTATCACTGGATGCACTTGAAAGTCACATTCAGATAGGAAAAATTGGCCGTACGTGAAATTTGTGAGGAGAAACAATCATGGTGACCCTTCTCCCAAATCTCCCTTTATCATCAGAAAAGATTTTAATCAGCTTCTAGAACGAGCTTTCAAAAACAGCCTCAGAAGTCAGTGGTCACCCTGCACAAGCGAAAGTGCAAAAGAAAAAGCTGATTCTTGACCAGCAAGGGATCTGGTCCTCAAGATTACCAATGGGGCGGCAGGATGAGCTGGGATGCAAAGTAGGCTCACATCACCCGGCCCTACAATGTGGTGTCTCAGGGCTGTGGCCTAGTCAAGTTCACCGGCCCCTCCCCCAACCTTTTTAACAAGTCTAGTAAAATCAAAGCATTCTTGGCTTATTTCTTGCAAAGTATTTTCCTATTCTAGAAAAGATAAGAAGAACAGAGGAGATGAAAATATTTTAGACACCCAGGGAGGAAGAGCCCATCAAAAAAGGCCCAATCCCTCAGAATCAAAGAGGAAAGATTCCCTTCTCATGAAAAGGGTGCTTTCCCTGCTACACAACTCTATCATCCTACCGCAGCCTGAAGAAATGAAAGTCACAGAAAGATACTCCGCTTGTATGTTTGACTCAACCGTTATGCATAATCTTAAAAAAAACCCACAGTGCTAATTGATCTGCTGCTTCTGTGATTGAAAGATATGGAGCTGTGAAAGAAATGCTTCTTACAAACATGCATTCTGCAGCATGCCAGAAGAATGCCGTAAGACGTAATCTGGGACACATGCTCAGAATGCAAACAGTTAATGCATAAATTTTCAGTTTGTACAACTGCAGCTCTAAAAGGGGGACTTGTTTATTCAGAGCTCTGCAGAAAGAATGGTACAGCACTCAGGGGGCAGACAATGCCAGGCACAAAACCCCGGTGCCTCTACATGTACAAGGATGTTTTTCTATGTGCTACAAATCCCACTTGAAAATATAATTAGAAGGAGAAAATGGCAAACTATTGCATTAACTGTAATTGAACAAAAGACCAGCAAGGCATGTGGGAGGCTGCAGGCACCCGTGGGAGTTTCGGGATGAGAGAGATCCTGCGAGTGACATCTCCTGGGCACCCTCATTTTATTTATGTTGTCCCTCACTACTATTGTTGACTGGTGATCTGACTTGTAATTAATAGAAGAGCCAGTGGTAACAAGCTAAAATATAGAGCAGCCGACTAGACTCACCTCATCAGAAGCATGTTTGTTAATCTGATTAAGACCGGGACTCCAAAAAGGTGACTTAGAACCAAAGAATTATTCCACTTTATACAGGAAGCTGTCCTCCTTTATGCTACAACAGACCTGATATATTCACTATCTTTTAATGAGCTCCACTGATTTATTCAGCTCCGCACCACTCCCTCCCCCACTTTTCTACTGTGCAGGATGTAGATTAATTCAATGCTTAATTGTTTAGTAAATTCAATTTTCCACATTCTATTCTGCATAGCTTTAGCTAAGGTTCTTAAATCTTCAGCAGTGAGCCCTGAGCCCAGTGTTTGTGATCTGTGCCTACCTTTTTTCATCACCATTTTTCTTCATCCACCACTTAATTCACCATGAAAAGATTTTCCTTGCTGGAAATTCTGATTCCACTATGATCTGTGAGGCATTCCAATTCATTGCATTTTCATTGTGTCAGGTCTTAGATGCTGGGTTCCTCTTTTCTCACAGCTATGGCCACATTACACAGGCATTCATTCGAGAAATGTTGGATTCCACCTCAGTTTATCCAAATTTCGTGCAACCTATATGTTTAAATTTGTGTGTTCGCCCAAGGTGGGAGCCAATATTTTCCACCTAACACCCTGCTTCTCACAGCCTCACTTCTGGAAGGTCTGTAAACGTGGAATGCACCTCTCTGAAATGAAATTTCACTTCTGTGGTCCTTTCTTGAATTAGCATTTTGTGTATTAGCATTTCAAGAATGGTGTAGTCATATGAAACTGAGCATTAAAAGCAATCCACAAGGTTATCAAAACACAGCAAGAATTATGTTTAGTTCAGTTCATTAAGCATGATTAAAGCCTAAGCATTAAAAATAGCTCATGAACTCTTCCAGTATAAATATGTAAGACAGCCCTAATCAGAAAGAACTCCCCCAAAATCCATCTACTCGGGGATCTCAGTTACAACAACATGTCTCCGTGACTATATGTGGTTTCATCAAACAAGATCATTATTATCTTTCAATAAAATATGTGCATACGATTATGTACATATATCTGTGAAGTTGTGAGGTGCTTGGGGCCACTTGCAAAAGAAGGCTGACAGAATAAAATCAAATGAAGCACTGCATTAGAATCATGGTAACCCTTAGTCATGCTTCTAAATTAAGTCCAAAAGGCGTGTTACTTCAGTGTATATAATTCCAATATAAGCAATGGCTACATTCTTTTCATCCTTTGGAAGTGCGCCAAGATAAGAGACTTCTTTATCTTCTTAAAGTCCACAGATATTTTTACTGGAAGTCTTTAAGATTTATTTGAATAATATTTGTACATTTTTGTTATTGTAGTATACCATTGGGTTAGAACTGATCAATAGCTGACCCTCCAGTGGGTTTTCAGAAGCAGTTATGCGCATGAGAAGAGACTGTCCACTCTTCTCTGCAGAGCAGCTGGTGTCCTTGAACTGTGTGCCTTTGGGATTGCAGTACCGCTTTTTGCCACTAGGCCACCAGAGCTCACCACTATGTACATACATTGATTTTTCTTCTGCTTTGAGAATCGTTGTCACAACTTTTCCCAAAGGCGTATGTGATTCTCCAAAAGTAGAAGTTACTGGTGTAGACTGGTGAACCACAACTGGAAGGGGCCGTGCACTGTAACTCCGATTGTCCTTCAAACTAGAGCACAGAGAGCTCAGTAGGAGAACTAGCCCTTCCGTGTGGAGACCGGGCCTTGGCCCGAGCCGCTCTCGTCTGTCCGTCACTAGAGGGTCTACGTTGCTATGATGCTGAATGTGTTTCAGTGGAGCTTCCCATTTGAGATGAGCCACCAAAGGGAACCTTGCCATCAACTTTTAAATTCGCAAACCACCTCATGAAAATTCTACTGATCACCAGCACTTGATTCAGAGCCAACTCATAGTGACCCCAGAAGACAGCAGAACTCTCCATGGAGCTCCCAACCCTAAAACCTTCGCAGAATCAGTTGTTGTTGTTGTTATGCGCCATTGAGTCACTTGCACCTTATAGCAACCCTATGCACAACAGCTCTGAACCCTGTTCCATCCTGAGTCAACCTCATTGTCTCTGACACACCTACTGCTATTACCCCAGTCACTGAATCAATCCATCTCATCGAGGGTCTTCCTTTCCTGCGCTGTCCCTCCACTCTCCCAAACAGGATGTCCCTCTCCAAGGACCAGTCCCTTCTTGCAACATGCCCAAAGTGTGTCAGACGAAACTTTAGAATCCTTGACTCCAAAGAGCAGTCTGGTTTCACCCTCTCCAGACAAGCCTGTTTGTTCTGTTAGCAGTCCATGGTATATTCAATACCCTTCTCCAGCACCACAGCTCAAAGGCGTCAATTATCTTTCTAACATCCCTAGTCATTGTCCAGTTGCCTGATGCATAGTAAGTAATTGCAAAAACTATGTATGTCCTGTATCAGGCGCACCTTAGTCTCCAGACTGACATAATTTCTTTTCAGTACTCTGGAGTTGTTGTTAGGGACCTTCAAGTTGGAACCTACTTATAGCTGACCTTCAAATGGGTTTTTCAGAGTCTGTAAATCTTACAGGAGATTACCCATCTTTCTTTCTCAGAGAAGCTCGTGGATTCAAACTGCCTGCCTTTGGGTTAGCAGTGCAGCTCCTTACCTCTAGGCCACCACTGTCAGATCCTGTTCCCACCGAGTGGCTAGTGCTAGCAGGTGAGCACCTAACCACCAGGCACCAGAGCTCCTTGGGTTATGCTCGGAACTCAATAAATACTTAGTGAACTACTGTTTCACCAATATCCCAATAAACTGGAACTTTAAAAACTAGCTGTGTTTTCCTCAGTAAAGTTTATCCAAGGGTCATTTCCCTCCCTTCTTCCCTTGAGGAGGAATGGCCACCAGAGGGTAGCCTGGTGAATAAGGAGTTACACTACCAATCCAAAGTCAGGTAGTTCAAACCCACCAGTTGCTCCATGAGAGGAAAATGGACAGTCTCCTCCTGCGTGATTTACAGCCTCCACAATCTGACTGAAGAGCCAACTCCGAGTTGGTTCTGACTTGACGACAATGAAGTGGGCTGGGTCTTTATGACTTCTTTGTCCGTTACATTTTAAACGGGGA